ATTAATGTCTTTTTAAATATATGGGATCACCTATTAATTACATTTTCTAAATGGGCAGTTGCCAGCATGCAGTAATGCTACCGGGTGTGGTACACCAGAGGTGCAGGCAGCTCTGGCTGAACCCTTATTAGGAACGTTCACATGGTCTGCGATTTTGGACGTTCTGGCTAGACAGTCTCCTGAGAGGCGGGTAGGGTAGATTGCTCTGGAAGGAGGCCGGCCCCTCCACACCCTCCAGGCCCATCTCCCCTCAGGCTGGAGCCGTGTCCTCCTCACCCCCTGCCTTCTGCAGACCTTCCACACCAGGGCTCTCCCTTCCCGCCCTCCCTGGCCTGTCCCACTCCTTGCCCTGCCCAGGACTTACATTTCACAAGTCCCTAGGTGTGTGTCCTCTCTGGATTGGTTGGTAATTTGATATTTAAAGACTCCTAGTTTGTTGTAGAGCCTAGAAAACTGGCCCTAGGCAGAATTTTGTGTGTGTGTGTGTGTGGTACGTGGGCCTCTCACTGTTGTGGCCTCTCCCATTGCAGAGCACAGGCTCTGGACACGCAGGCTCAGTGGCCATGGCTCACGGGCCCAGCCGCTCTGTGGCATGTGGGATCTTCCCGGACCAGGGCATGAACCCGTGTCCCCTGCATCGGCAGGCAGACTCTCAACCACTGCGCCACCAGTGAAGCCCAGAACTTTTTTTTTTTAATTATTATTATTTTTTTGGCTGCGTTAGGTCTTTGTTGCTGTGCGTGGGCTTCCTCCACTTGTGGTGAGCGGGGGCTACTCTTTGTTGCGGTGCACAGGCTTCTCACTGCAGTGGCTTCTCTTGCTGTGGAGCATGGGCTCTAGGTGCACGGGCTTCAGTAATTGTGGCGTGTGGGCTCAGTAGTTGTGGCACATGTGTTTAGTTGCTCCGCGGCATGTGGGATCTTCCAGGACCAGGGCTCGAACCCGTGTCCTCTGCACTGGCAGATGGATTCTTAACCACTGCGCCACCAGGGAAGCCCCGGAATTTCTTCTTTAGAGCAAAGAAATTTTGTGGGTTTTGTGGCTCTTTTCTGCTCTTGACCCCCTAGAGGCTGGGTTGGGTGGGGAGCTGAGAAGGTTTTACCTGAAATCCCATCTCCCCACCCACATCCTCCCTAATCCAGGAGAGAAGAGCCTTCAGGGGCTGAATCACCTTGAGGAAGGAACTTGAACCTGACACCCAGGGCTGGACACACTCAACCCTAAGCTAGGGAGCTGGGCTCTCTTCAAATCCCTCCCACCCTTCTCAGAGAGATTTTGTTAACTACTTACCTCCTTCCTCCTAAGATCCCTCAGACCCTCCATCCACACAAAAGGCCCATCCGCAGTCCAGTTCTTTTCCTGGAATCAAAATACCCCCAGGGTTGCTACTCCACTCCTGTTAACAGGATAGGAGAACCAGGGGCAGGGAAGCAAAGTTGGTGGAACTTCTGATATCCTTGGGATATTCGTGCAACCTGCCTCCAGTGCTCTGAGGTTCAGGAATTTTCTACTTCTGCAAACCAGGCTGGCAGTTTTTCCCCCAACTTCCCAACCACTCCTCCTCCAGCAGAGAGAGGCACCTGCATCCCCACTCAGCACTTCCCTGCCCATCCTTGTTGCTTCACTCGGTCAGAGCCAACCACAACCTTCCTCCATTTATGGCGAAAAATTTCTCATTCAGCCTTTACCACCTTGAAATGAAATACTTGATGAAACCTATCTCCACAGAGAAATCTTTAAATGTTAATAAAAGGTCCCAAATATATATGTATAGTGTAGAGGTGAAATAAAAGGAGAGAAATTTATAAGTAAAAGAATACATATTTCGGGCTTCCCTGGTGGCGCAGTGGTTGAAAGTCCGCCTGCCGATGCAGGGGACACGGGTTCGTGCCCCGGTCCAGGAAGATCCCACATGCCGCGGAGCGGCTGCGCCCGTGAGCCATGGCCGCTGAGCCTGCACGTCCGGAGCCTGTGCTCCGCAACGGGAGAGGCAACAACAGTGAGAGGCCCGCGTACCGCAAAAAAAAAAAAAAAGGAATACATATTTCAAAATGCAAGTGATACTTGGGCTTGCTCCCAATAAGATCCAGCTAGTGTGTGGTCCATGGAGGGCAGCCATCAACATCCCTTGGGAATTTGTTACAAATGCAGACCTGATTCAGAGTCGGATTTTAAAACCTCCCCAGTGTATCTGAAAAATCCCCAGAACTCTCTGTGGATCCCTAAAGCTCCATAAAACCCACAGCTGGCACTGCCTAGATGAAGAGATTTTGCAGTTTCCTGAACTGGATCGTAACAACTAGTAAAGTGCCAACAAAGCCGAGGAAACTCTTCCAATGGACTCAGAAGTTGCGTTCTTGGACCATTCAGTGTCTATTAATACTCCTTACATTTACAGGCCAACTAATTTGGGTTCTAGGCTCAGATTAACAGGCTTTCCTCCTACATAAAACACACAGGACATTGGCTAGGAGGAGGAATCCACGATAGTTCTCCCCTGGGTGGCACTGTCCTGTGCACGGCTTCCCAATAACACTCTCATTACTGTGACACCAAAATGCACTCACAACTTTCCCAAAAGGCCCCTGGGGTGCCTTGTACACCCTCGTCTCCTGGAAGCCATTATTCTCTAATCCTTTTCTTCTAGGCAGTAAGCCCTTGGAACCGAATTATATTTTTCTTTTATTTTTAAAATTTTTATTTATTTAATTTTTTTTGGCTGTGTTGGGTCTTCGTTGCTGTGTGTGGGCTTTCTCTAGTTCCGGCGAGCAGGGGCTACTCTTCGTTGTGGTGTGGGGGCTTCTCATTGCAGTGGCTTCTCTTGTTGCGGAGCATGGGCTCTAGGAGTGCAGGCTTCAGTAGTTGTGGCATGCGGGCTCAGTAGTTATGGCTCGGGGGCTCTAGAGCACAGGGTCAGTAGTTGTGGCACATGTGTTTAGTTGCTCCGTGGCATGTGGGATCTTCCTGGATCAGGGCTCGAACCCGTGTCCTGTGCACTGGCAGGTGGATTCTTAATCATTGCGCCACCCTGGAAGTCCCTATTTTTCTTTTTAACTGGAGTACACCATGGGGTGTAATTCCAGGAATTAACGGAGATTGTGTCTGAGGAGGAAATTGAAGAATGGAAACTGACTTGTCAGTCTCTGCTTTTTTATCTTACTTGAAGTTTTCAAACTTATTTTAACCACTTTTTGAAATCCTGATTGGGTCATAATCAATTTTCATAATCTCATTATCAAACTGATTCCCCCAGTTTACAAATTACATTAAAATAATGTACTGCTATGGGCAGAAAGGTGTGGTTTCTAAGATGTGCCTTAAATTGCCTGGGGGAGCAAGTGGGTGGGAGTAGAGATGAAACCAGATTGGTCAGGAGTTAACTGCTGGAGCTCCTTACACTATTCCACTTTGGGATATGTTGGAAAACCTCAATAGTAAAAATTGTATTGACAGTGTATGTATCGAAAAGAAATTTGGCCCGTGTAATAGTCAATCCATCTCTCAGAATTCAGGATCTCCCCACCCAGATTGCTTATGGCCCTTTTCCCCTTGCCTGCTCTGTTTCCCAGAGCACTGATCACCTACACTACACACTACACAATTTCCATGTCACATCCACTGCTCATCATGGCCCATGTGAATTACAGTCTGATTTAATGCTTACTCCATAGAAAAACTGTTTGCATCTTTTCTGTATTTTTGAAGAGGATGTTGGGGGTTGGCAGGAGATTTTATTTTTAATGATTTCCTAACAGTAACTAATTTGCTTAATCTGTCTCCTGTTCACCATGTCTCTCTCCCTTAGAAAGTAAGTTCCATGTTGGCAAAAATCAATGACGATTTTACTTGCCGATATTGAAAGTTGTATGTGTAGCTCCCCTTTTATTTTTCTTGGACAGAGTTGGTATAGAGGTTAAAAGCAAGAATTCTAGAGCTACCCAGGCTAGGTTCAAATCCCAGCTCTGTCACCTACTAGCTGTTTGATTTGGGCAGGTCACTTGGCCTCAGTTTTCTCACCTGGAAAGTGGGGACATAGCCATACCTATCTCAGGGGGTTGCTACCCAGACTGGTAGTAAGAGGCTCCGTGAAGTTTGGCTGGGGTTATTACTGGTTATAGCACTCATTTAGGGAGTCAGATAGAAATGCATTCGGCTCCTGTTGGAGCCTGTTTTCTCCTGTGCAATGATCTCCAAGCTAGTGATGCTGGATCCTTAAAGGTGATGAGAATTTTATATGACCTAATGAATACAAAGCCTTCTGCCCAGGTGTCTGACCCAAATAGCAGCAGTTGTTCAGCACCAAGGGCCTTACAGCCTGATTAGGGACACTCCAAGGGGCCACTGGGTCCAGACGAAGAGCGACAGACTCTGGATCCTGGCAGCCCCTACTCTGGGAGATTTGGTTGGGCAGTTCCACCTCAGTCCAAATACAGCCTGAGGGAGGCGGGTGTCTGGAGAATACAGAAGGTGGGGACAGGAGGGTCTGGCTAGTAAGTTGGGGCAAGGCAGAGAGAGGAGGGGGCGTGACAGTAAGAAAGGAGGGGCGGGCAGAGACTATGGAGTCAGAAAGCATGGGGCAGGGGAGGTGGCCGGCAGTGGTGTTGGGTATTAAGAAGGGAGGGGCGGGCAAATAAAAAGGGCAGAGGTAGAGATGGGGGCTCATGAAGCTACATGAAGGTTTGCCTGCGAGGAGCTCTGGCTGAGATGCAGGGTAGGACTTGGGCGTCTGTAAGGTTGCAGAGGAGGTTGGCTGCCGGGGGCTGTGATGCAAATGGTAGAAAAGAGCTTAAATCGCCTGCCGGCAAGGACGGGTTGGGAATCTGGGGCTTTGAGGATGGGGCTGGGGGTGGTGAGGTTGGGGAGGCAGCTGAGGGGGCTTAGGGGGTGACAGTCTTGGAGTGTGGCTGGCACAGGCAGGGCTGGTAGAGGCTGCAGGTCCCTGACACCCTGAAGTATGACACTGGCTCTCCCGTGTTGCAGCTGGGCCTGGTGAGAAGACCATGGACAACTCGACTTCTGGGGGCCTGCCCGCCCGAGTCCCTGCTGGGGAGCCCGAAACCGAGGAGCCACTGGGTCTGGGCCAGCTGCCCACGGAGCTGCTTGAGATGGTGCTGAGCCACGTGCACCCTCACGTGCTGCTCGGGCGCTGCCGCCGGGTGTGCCGGCGCTGGCGCGACCTGGTGGACTGCCAGGCCCTGTGGCTGAGCATCCTGGCCCGAGACCACGCCACCCTGTGGCCCATCGTCAGCACCTGCCTGCCCACTGCCGCCGACCCCAGGCCCTGCGTCCTGGGCCGCTTCTGTGAGTGCAGACCCATAGGACGCAACCTCCTCCAGAACCCCCAGGGCGAAGGTGGGGGGCCCCAGGAAAGGGGTCCTCAGGGGAGCCAGTGGGAGGGTCTGGAGTGGCGTGGCCTCATGGGAAACCCATGGGTTCTCTCCGTGGGCTGGCGGGCTCGCAAGGAACTTGGTCACAAACCTTTTTTATTTAACAGAAGTCCTCCAGAAATTGATGGTTGTGCACAGTTGTGGTGCCCTGGCTATGGAGGGAAACTTGGAGGCCATGCCTAGGGCCCCTTTGCAGATCTGCTTCCAGTCTGCCTACAGGTGAATGTTGCTCTTCCACAAGGTCCAGGGTTGTGGTGAGTACTTGCCTGTTCTCTTGACCTATCTCCCTCTTTTCTAGGTGGTATCACAAAAAGAAGCAAGTGTTGGACCTGGAGAAGGAGGGATTTTGGCCGGAACTCCTGGGTAGCGGAAAGATTGAGATTTGTGTCTCTGACTGGTGAGTGTGATGATAAAACAGCCCTTTTGCTGAGCGCTGATGTTGGCATGGGTGACCTCATTTAGGCCTCCTAACAGCCCCTTAGGATAAAGCAGGTAGGGAAATGACTTCACCACCATCAGAGCTTTAGTACCCAGCAGAGTACACGCCCTGAACCCTCTCCTAACCTGCAAAGGGAACTGGATTGGAAGATGCCAAGATGGATCCTATACAGAGGACTTGGGTCCAACTCTGTAAATGAGATGCCTCTTGGTTTAGGAGGAGACAAGATAGGAGAGTTTGGCTAAGACGTCATATTCTGGAGCTAGAACCTCCCAAGTTCAAACCCTGGCTTCGCAGCTTTGAGGCCTTGGGCAAGTCACAGTGTGCCTTAGTTTCCCTGTCTTTGTAAGATTGGGTTATATGTCAGGTACCTAGCCAGTGCTCTGAAGTGTGACCTGTTTCAGCACCCTTCATGATCCTTGATCCTGTGGGAAAGTGTTTTGAAACATCAAATTGCGAAGTTCAGAAAGGGGAGGTGACTTCCCCTGGTGGCACAGCTAGGGCTTGACAGGACCTGGCATGACACTCATACTTGTCAGACTCCAGAGCTTGTGCTCTGTAGTGATGGTCTTGAAACTGGGGTCCATGAAGACTTTCCAAGGGATACCTGACCCGGATAATTTTAAATTCTCTAGTCTTTTATGTTCCCTGTTCTCAAATTAATCAGCTACAGGTCACATCTATGGTGGAAGTAACACTGGTTATTCTTCCCAATTGCTGTCTCATAATGCTCCAGTTTTACAGAAAAAGAAAGCCCTTTACTGCGTTGTGTGGTTCCCAGAGAGATAGACTGCTTGAGAGACAGGCAAAGTGACCATTTGAAATTTTGGCCTTTACCAAATTAACTTTTTTTTTTTTTAATGGTACATTCTCTGCCTAACCTGATAATGAGGGATGAGGAATTTGGAAACCCAGGAGCTTGTTTATTTATTTATTTATTAAATATTTATTTATTTGGCTGTGCCAGGTCTTAGTTGCAGCACACGGGATCTTCATTGCTGTGTGCACGATCTTTAGTTGTGGCATCCGGGGTCTAGTTCCCTGACCAGGGATTAAACCCGGACCCCCTGCATTGGGAGTGTAGAGTCTTAACCACTGGACCACCAGGGAAGTCCCTTTTTTTTTTGTTTTTAATTTTTTGGCCTCTCCACGTCAAAACATAAACATCCTAGTTCCTTGACCAGGTATGGAACCCATGCCCCCTGCCGTGGAAGCGTGGAGTCCTAACCACTGGACTGCCAGGGAAGTCTCCCAAATTTACTTTCCATCGAGGCACCATAAACTGCCGCCTCTGCAAATCCATCTCATTAGAAGATGTATTTACAATCAACTTCTGTTTTTAGCTTAATCCTTTATCAACTATTGTAGCATGTTTGTGTGGCTTTGAGCAATGGTGTACCAGTTGATTGTAATAATCAGTGACTCCCCAGTTTTGCCATATATCACCCAGAAATATTTAAAACTCCCAATGCCTGGATCACACTCCATACCAATTAAATAGGAGTGTCTAAAATGAGAGCGCCAGGCATCAACATCTGTGAGAAGTTTAGAGCCAACTACAAAGTTGATGACCACCACAATGTCAAGACCACCTTCCAAATGCCAGATGGGGCATTCCCAAAGCCACCCTCAGGCTCAGTAATTGACTAGAAAGACATAGAACTGAATGAAAACTCTTATAAAGTTAGCGGAGGGGAAGATCACAGGGCAGCATCCAGGGGAACTTTCCAACACCAGAATTCCATTGCCCTCTACCCATGGAGTCATGACACCTGATTGTCCTGGCCTCCAATGGTGACAGTACGCATGGAATATTGCCAACCAGGGAAGCTCACCTGAGTTTATAGGGGCTTTATTATATGTTTCACCTCAGCCTCCAGGTCAACTGATTTGCGTGAGGCATCCTAAATCACACTGTTGGTCTTCCTGGAGTGGCTTGCCCCCATTATAGACTATCTGTGTGGACGTGGCCAGTCCCCACCAAATCATATTTGCAGGCTGTCCAGTATGACCCAAGGTCCCCAGGCAAACAAGGTTAGTTCTGTCACACATAACATTCCAAGGGTCCAGAGATTACATCCCAGAAGCAGAGAGCAAAGACCATACATTTGGACAAGCCTATGGGAGGGCGTACCTTGAAGTGCACGGCTCTAGGTCATTATTTCTGAAATGAATGTGCACGCAGACAAGCTGGGGAGCTAGTGCAGATGGATTCATTGCGTATACGCAGGTCCAAGCTGCCAAGTGACACTGATGGTGCTTCTCCTGGGGACCACATTTGAGATTTGCATACATGCACAGGCCATTCAGGTGAAGCAGGCAGACGTCCAAAGAGATGGAGTGGCAAGTCCAGCTTTCAAGCTCTCCCTTCTCCCATAGGTGGACCAGCCGACAAGGCACTGACAATATATATCATCTAATTATCCAACTTCCAGATGCCAACCAGTCCGTCCTGGATCATTTCTCTTCTGTGCCTATGCCCATTCGGCAGTGGAGAAACAGCGTCTCCTTTGAGGTGAGTCTCTGAGAGGGGTGAGGGGAAAGGATGGTGGAGCCTATGATGAACTACTGTTGCATAATTGCCCCAAAATTTAGTGGCTTGATATGAACAGCAGTCATTTTCTCATCTCTTATGGTGTCTACGAGTAGGGCTCTGCTGGGAGTTTCTGGCCCTGGTCTCTCATGTGGTTGCATTAGACACTGGCTGGAGCTGAAGGGCAGGGTGGGGTGTGAGTGTGTATACAGCAGCTGGTGGCTGGCCAAGCAGCTCTTGGTTTAATCTCAGAGCTTGGCCTTGGGATCTCTCTGCTTGGTCTAGTTTGGACTTCCTCACAGCATGGCGGCTTCAGGGCAGTCAGACTGCTTCTTGGTGGCTCAAGAGCCTCCACCATGAGGCTTCTGGAGAAACCAGCAGAAGCTGCATTGCCTTTCTGACCCAGCCTTGGAAGTCACTTTGCAAAAGTCACTCAGCATCACTTCCACCACACTCTGGGTTACAAGGAAACCCCTCCAGACTCAAGGGGATGGGAAGTAGACTCCAGCCCTGGAAAAAGAGTGTCATGATTCTAGAAAAAGTACCTGTGGAGACATTGTCGCAGCCATCTATGGAAAATACCACCTGTCAGAAGGCCCCCAACTCAGTTTTTGAAGGCACAATGAGACCTACCTCTTTTCCTTACTACAGGTCAACCATGTGTTCTCCAACTTCAAGAAGGGCGTCCGCTTTGTGTCTTGTGAACACTGGGTCCAGGACATGGAGTTCTTGTCTGAACATTATGGAGTCTATCTGCCCAACTCCAGTGTGATTGTGCAGGTCCGTCTGCCCTAGTCGTGGACTGTCCTTGCAAAACTACCTGACCGTGCCTTCCAGGAGCTGGGCCCATTGGCTGGGCCATCTCAATAATCAATGGCTTGTAGCTCCCTGGCATCCTGGGATCTCCTGGGTCCAGTCGAGGGTCTAGATTCTTCTGCATGGGGCTGCAGAGTGGTGACAGTTAGGGGCCATGTCAGGAAATTGTTGTCCACCTCTGGGAACAAATGTGACTGCCCACAGAAAATTCAGGAAGAAATTGAGCTTCTGATAGAAGGCAAGTGACTTGCCAGCTCAGAGGGGTCTGAATGCCAGGACTGCGCCACCCCTTGGAGAGGTTGGTGTTAGTGGGGATGCGGTTGCCATTTCCCTAGAGAAGTACACTTCTGATGAGGACTCTGTCTCTGCATGGGATGGGGAGGTCAAGGGCTATGAGGATTCCCCCTGGATGACGGCCAACCTTTCTTGACCCCTTCACCCAGGAAGCATAATGATAATAACATCAGTAATAACTGTGCCCTCTCCCCGTCCCAGGCACTTTGCTGCATGTCTTAGGAGCACTATTCCATCAACTCCTCTCAACTCCCCCTTGATTTAGGCCTCGCTACAAAATGAGAAAAAAAGCTTGGGGAGGGCAGCAGCCTGCCCAAAGCCACACAGCTCAACCCCGGTCCCCAGGGAGGAGACTCCTGGGCCCGCCTCTAACCTGCTGTGTGCGGCATCTGAGCAGGGCAGTGACTGGAGGGAACCAGTCTCAGCCAGGAGCTGGCTCTTGGGGGGCAGGTGGAGGCAGGTGCCCTGAGCCCCAGGTCCTTCACCACCGGCAGTCCCTGAACTTGGCATGGAGCCTAGAGGAGCCGTTAGCATCAGTTCTGAAGCCGAGACTGCCAGGTCTCAAACCTTAGCTGGGCCAAACCAAACACTCCATATCTGCCCCCTCCCTCCAATGCCACTCCCCACCCCCAGCCACTGTCCTGGAAAGGCACACGCTTTGGGTTACGCCCTCCTTTTTCTACATGTGTTTGGCCCACAATTATTATATAGCATTTTTTTTATGTGTTCTTAAGTTTTATGGAAATCATATATTGCAGTTGCCAACCCACAGATTCATGTTTGCCCTGAGGATGTGTTTTTGGATTAGTCCATATTGTTACCTGGAGATCTTGTCCTCCTGTGTGTCGATACTTAACTCTTCTTTAAAGCCCTTCAATAAAGTTTTATAAATTTTTTCATAAAATATTGCATATCTTTTGTTGGATTTATTCTGAGCCACCTTAAGATTTTGTAAATCGAATTTTAAAAAATTTTTTATAAAAAATATTCTTAAATTGTAAAATGTCAAATTTAACCACCTTAACCATTTTCGAGTTTAATAATGTTAAGTACATTCACATTGTTGTGCAACCCATCTCCAGAACTCTTTTCACCTTGTACAGTGGAAACTCTGGACCCATTAATCAATAACTCTGCATTCCCTCCACCTCAACCCCCAGCAACCACCATTCTACCTGGTCTCAATGAATTCCCCTATTCTAGGAACCTCCTATAGGTGGAATCATACAATTTTTGTCTTTTTGTGTCTGGCTTATTTCTCTTAGCATAATGTCCTCAAAGTCCATGTTGCAGCATGTATCAGAATTTCTTTCCTTTCTGAGGCTGAGTAATATTCCACTGTGCCTAAACACCACATTTTATTTATCCAGTTGTCTGTTAAGGGACACGTGGGTTACTCCCACCTATGGCTGTTGTGAATATTTATGTGAATATGGGTGTAAAAATATCTCTTCAAGACTCTGCTTTCAGCTCTTTTGGGTATTTATCCAGAAGCGGGATTGCTGGATCATTTATGGAATTTAAATTTTTTTAACTTTGAAACAAGCTCACATTTTTTTTTATGTTCGTGTTTTACGTTTTTATTGAAGTATAATGTGCACACAGAAAAGTGTAACCCGAGCCTATCTATAAACAGCCACTGACTCTGACACGGCCTCTTGTGCCTTCAGGGTAACTGCTGTCCTGACTTTTAGCATCACTGATGGCGTCTTTCCTGAGGTATATTAAACAGAATCACATGGCACTTGCTCCTTTGCATTGGTTTATTTCCCTTAACCTTAGGCTTCCAAAGTCCATCCATGTTTTTGCAAGTGGCTGTAGCTTGTTTCTTCTCTTTGCTGAACACTCTTGATTTATTCATCTGCTCTGGGTGGACATTGGTTCGTTTCTGGTTTGAGTCTCTGATCAATAAAGCTGCAGTGAACATTCTAGTATCTATCTTTTTTAAAAAAAATTTATTTATTTTTGGCTGCTTTAGGTCTGGCTTTGGCAGGCTTTCTCCAGTTGTGGCGAGTGGGGTCTACTCTTCGTTGCGGTGCTCGGGCTTCTCACTGCAGTGGCTTCTCTTGTTACGGAGCACGGGCTCTAGGCGCATGGGCTTCAGTAGTTGTGGCACACAGGCTCAATAGTTGTGGCTTGAGGGCTCTAGAGCACAGGCTCAGTAGTTGTGGCGCACGGGCTTAGTTGCTCTGCGGCATGTGCGATCTTCCCCAACTAAGGATCAAACCCGTGTCCCCTGCGTTGGCAGGTGGATTCTTAACCACTGTGCCACTAGGGAAGTCCTCTAGTATCTATCTTTACGTGCACACGTTTCTCACACCTGGGAGTACAACTGCGCATGTGAAAATTAACGAAGAGAAAGCTCGTTAAATTGGAGTCAGGGGGACTTCCCTGGCAGTCCAGTGGGTAAGACTCTGTGCTCCCAATGCAGTGGGCCCAGTTTGATCCCTGGTCAGGGAACTATATCCCACATGCATGCTGCAGCTAAGAGCGCGCATGCCACCATTAAGATCCCATGTGCTGCAACTAAGACCCAGCGCAGCCAAAATAAGTAGGTAATACATTTAAAAAATAAAAATAAAATAAAATGGAGTCAGGAGGCCAGAAAGGAGACCTGTCACACATGTACCCTTCCATGTCAGATCCCATAAGGAAGAGATCTACCTTGCATCTCTGGCAGGAAGTGACACTACTTTACTACAGCCAGCAGGAGGAAGAAAGATTTTCTCCTGGCCTGGCAACAGCCCGGCCAATGAGAGACTGTCACAACTCAGCCAATGAAAAAGCCTCTATACTTAGAACATCTCCTTTCCCCCAATGGACTTTTTGTTTATAACAGTCCCTCCAAACATGCCCTCTCCTCTATAAAAGAATTCCCTCTCCTTTGCTTTAGAGGACTTGCATGTGGTTCACCATATTTTCATATCCCAAACTGCAATTCTTCACTGCTTCTGAATAACCTTGTTTTCCTAGTAAAATAACTGGCTGTTTTATTGTTTTAGATGAATACATGTCATGGTGTAAGTATATATTCAGCTCTAGTAGGTGCTGCCAAACAATTTTCCAATGTGATAGTACCATGTCGTCACTCCCACAGGTAAGAGAGCTCCAATTAATTACACCTGTAGATGAAAATGCAAAAAAGCCAAACTGAGTATTATAACCCAGGAAGCAGATTCTCACAAAGCTCTGAGAACTCTTCTGCCTTTTAGAAGTCAAAGGCACAGTCGTACACATTTTCTAGACAAAGCATTACACATCAATGTAACATACTGATATTTTACATAAAGTTCACCAAGGGTACCTAGTCCAGGTAAGAATGTACAAAGCAAGCAGCTACTCACCATGACCCCCTACAGAGCTGGGAAAGAATGCTATTTTTTAGAAAGTTACATTACCAGCATCAGAAGAAAAAAAATTGATCTTTCAGTTGAGCAGGCACTTTGGGGAGCTCTGGTTGCAGATACACACCCCACATTAGGGAGGCAGGAGGCCTAAAAAAACCACAGAGACAATTTTATGTTTAATTTTTTCTTTTTCTGCCTCAAAATATAGATTTTATTGCATCATTTTTCCCCTTTTGATCAGTAATATTCTGATAGAAAGCATTAGGTGATCAAATATTTGGCCTCTGATGCCGTGGTGGTTGCTTACCTGCCCTGGATCCATCACATCCTTTGCTGCCAGTCTTAACAGCCCAGTTCTTCCTTTCCTTTTAGGGGTTATGCTAGTAGAATGCTTCACAAGGACTGAAAGTCAATTTTATCAGTCAGTTCCAATAGGACTTATGCCAATTTTACCCTGTATGTGCATTGTGCATGCCCTTTTATATAGAACAATAGATATGATCAATAGTTTCAAGTCATTTAGACATCGTTATTTTCATAGGAGTTTTGAATATATATACATTGAGATGTACAAGAGATTATTACTCTATAAATGATATAGAACACAATCGCCAGAACCAATAACAGTAACAAAGTCAAAAGTGGAGATTTAAGCCATGAATGCCCAAAACTGAACCATTTACCAAAGATTTCATTTGGACTAGAAAGTGGGTTCTTCAATGTAGAAATTTTTATTTTGTATGAGAGTCATTAGATGGCTATATTAGAGGACTCATCTGATATGAAAGTACAACATTGTCTGGATTCTGGCACACTTCCCCCTGCAAAGCAGTTTTAAAAATCAAGAGCTACTTGCTTTTGCAACATCACTGTCTCATCCCAGAAACTTCAGAATTGTATAAATTAATTGAACGTAGTAAACTTGGAGCTATATGCTGATGGGGAAATTTTTGTAGATTATAGGAACATCTGAAAAGTCAATGATGAGAATTATGAGGGGCTTCTATTGGCCTTATTGACCGGGGAATTTAATGAAAAATCCAACGATCAGTTAAATTGCCCTCAGTAGTAATACTTTGTGATAGCATTACTAAAGGGTTTTGGGGTAAAAACATGGCTAGAAATAAAAAAATAACTTTTAATTTTGATTTCAAGACACACTTTTGGTAACAGTACATTTGAACTGGTAGGATGGGTCTTTTAGGCCTGGCCCAGACTCTTGGGTCAGCTGTCTGCTACTGCTGTTGTCACCTTCTCTTCCTAACTTGGTGACGCCTGTCTTAGTTGAAGTCAGGTGCTAGAAACAGCCGTCAAATTCCATTCAGGTGGAGAATGAGAGATGTGAATCCTTGAATTAATGTCTCTCAGCTTAGCTGTGCATGGATTAGTTAATAATACCTGAAAAGTTTCTTTCCACCGTGGCTGCAGAAAATCTTTTATTTGATGTCCTTTCCAACAAGCAAAATCCCTGGGTTATAATCCATGATCTTTTCCACCTCCTGGGAGCTCTTTGGAAAAGTAGATCCCAATTTTTTTTTTAAGATGTATTTATTATTTATTTATTTTTTAATGTATTTTTGGCTGCATTGGGTCTTAGTTGCGGCACACAGGATCTTCGTTGAGGCATGTGGGATCTTTCGCTGCAGCACGCGGGCTCTTTGTTGTGGTGCGCGGGTTTCTCTCTAGTTGTGGCATGCAGGTTTTCTCTTCTCTAGTTGTGGTGCGCAGGCTCCTGGGTGTGTGGGCTCTGTACTTTGCGGCTCGTGGGCTCTAGTTGAGGTGCGTGAACTCAATAGTTGCGGCACACGGGCTTAGCTGCCCTGAGGCATGTGGGATCTTAGTTCCCCAACCAGGGATCGAACCTGTGTTCCCTGCATTGTAAGGTGGATTCTTTACCACTGAACCACCAGAGAAGTCCCCCAATTTTTTTTAAGTATGTCAATAAGCCCTGCCAATAATGTAATATGTTTCCTTTGAGCCATCATGGGTGAAAGTTTCCAAAGTATTGTTTTCCCCATAAAACCGTTTTCTCAGATGCCCAATGGGGTAAAGAATGTCCATGCTGGAGTATCGGCAAATTGGGCTTCAATAGACACTGTAAGTTTTGTTTCGTTTTGTTTTGTCATATCTAAACCATATTTGTGTGGTGGGATCAAAATACCTCCTTTTTGTTGCTGTATCTGTTTCTCTTCATTAGTGGTGACTTCTTGAACTTGTAGAAAGAAATCTTTTACTGGATTAGCAGCGTTAATGGAGAAGCGTGGACATTTTCAAGGCTGGACAGGATGAATCTTTAAAGCTAACTGTTTGGCTGCAGCATCAGCAAGCTGATTCCTTTTAGCTTCCATGGTGTCAGATGCGGAATGCCCTGGTGTTTTAATAATTGCTAACCGCTTTGGCAGTTATATAGCAATTAATAACTCGGCATCCTGTTTTCTACTTTTTTTATAGGTTGCCCTGGAGTTGTTAAAAACCTCACTGTTTTCATGGCATTCCAAAGTTGTGTACCACTACAAAAGCATAGTAACTGTCAGTATAAGTATTTGTTACCTGGTCTTTAACTAATTGACATCCTAGAGCTAAGGAAATTAATTTGGCATGTTGTGCTGACTTTGTTTCTGGTAAATAAGAGCTTTGAGTTATGTCCACTGTGGGCGTTATTGTATATCCAGCTCTGTAATGTCCCTGCTCATCCCTTAAGTACGACCCATCTGTAAATCTAATTACATCAGCATTATCAACAGGGACTTCTTGTAAGTCATTCCTGGGAGCAAGAATAGAATTTGTTAACAAAATGCAATCATGATTTTTTTCTTGCTGTGATGCTGGAAGCAAAGTTGCAAGATTAATGTTATTACATCAAACCAGGGTAATACTGGGAATTCCCAGGGAATGCCCTGGTTAGGACTTGGTGCTTTCACTGTCGGGCACCCAGGTTCGATCCCTGGTCAGGAACTAAAAGTCTGTCATGGCGCAGCCAAAAATAAAAAAAAAAAAAAAGAAAAGAAAAGAAAAAGGAAAACCAGGGTAGTGTTAGGTGCAGAAAGCAACAATATTTCATAAATTAGTTGGCTTATAGAATTGTGCTGAGTGTGCTGAGAGTTTAGAAGAGACTCAACTGATGGTGAGACAGTTAAAGGATTACCACTTCCTCAGAAGCCTTCTATAAAAGTCATTCCTGGGACTTCCCTGGTCGCGCAGTGGTTAAGAATCCGCCTGCCAATGCAGGGGACATGGGTTCCATCCGTGGTCCGGGAAGATCCCACATGCCACAGAGCAACTAAGCCGGAGCGCCACGGCTACTGAAACCCACCCACCTAGAGCCGTGCTCCAGGCTCATGGCAACTAGAGAAAGCCTGCACGCAGCAATGGAAGACCCAACGCAGCCAAAAATAAATAAATACAAATAAATAAGAGAGTCACTTCTGAAATAACCATCATACAAAGTGAAAGTCCCTTTGCTACCAAGTCTAATCTAGTTTTGTAGTGTAAAAGCAAGTCATCTACAAGCATGTTTGTAAACGCATCAGAGTAAGACAATAACTGTCTACGAATGACAAAAGACTTAAAAAGCATGGTTGAAGACCGATTACAATGCAATTGTCAAGGAAATTTGGCTGTTTCTGTGACATACAACATTTTAAGATAATAACTAGAATTATGACTGACCGCATAACAGGATATTTCCAATTTTAGGAACTTCATACAATTTCTAGAACATTTGTATTGATATATGTCTGACAACGTCTTCCGTGTGGCATTCGGTTCCATATTAACACCCAGTCCAAATACAGTCCGATGGAGGGGGTATCTAGAGAATACGGCGGGGTGGGTGTGGGTGGGAAGAGCTGGCTTGTAAATTGGTGCAAGGTGAAGGGAGGAGGGGGCACGACAGTGAGAAGGGAGGGGCAGGCAGAGACTGGGGAGACAGGTAAGGTGGGGCAGGGGGAGGGGCAGGGGTGTGGGTGGTGCTGGGTATTAGGGAGGGGCAGGCCTATAAAAAGGGCAGACTTAGAGATGGGGGCACATGAAACAAGGTGAAGGCCAGCCTTCCAGGAGCACTGGCCACTGGCCGAGATGCAGGGTAGGACCCCAAGGGGTCAGTGAGGTCACAGAGCGGGTTGCCTGCAGGGGGCTGCAGTGGTCCGCCGGCAAGGAAGGGTTGGGAGTCTGGGGCCTTGAGGATGGGGCTGGGGGTGGTGAGGTTGGGGAGGCAGCTGACAGGCTTTGCGGGGGGTGACAGTCTTGGGGTGTGGCTGGCAGGGGCGGGGCTGTCATGGCTGCAGGTTCCTGATGTTTTGACACTGGCTCTCCCGCAGTGGCAGCCGAGCCTGGTGAGGAGACCATGGGTGCCTCGGCTTCCAGGAACTGGCTAGTCGGTGTTTCCGCGCTGGAGCCTGAACCCGAGGAGCCGCTGGGTCTGGGCCAGCTGCCCACGGAGCTGCTCGAGATGGTGCTGAGCCACGTGCCCCCTCACGTGCTGCTCGGGCGCTGCCGCCGGGTGTGCCGGCGCTGGCGCGACCTGGTGGACTGCCAGGCCCTGTGGCTGAGCATCCTGGCCCGGAAACACGCCGCCCTGTGGCGCATCGTCAGCACCTGCCTGCCCGCCGCCGACGACCCCAGGCCCTGCGTCCTGGGCCGCTTCTGCGAGCGCAGACCCATAGGACGCAACCTCCTCCGGAACCCCAGGGACGAAGGTGGGGAGCCCAGGAAAGGGGTCCTCCTCAAGGGAGCAGGTGGGAGGGGCCGGATGCGGGGGGCACTTGGACTCCGTGGATGGGGTGGAACTGGATCCCAAGGGAGGAGTGGGACGTGCAGGTCCCCATGGGAAACCCCAGGGGACTTATCCCTGGGCGGGTGAGATGGCAAAGAGCTTGGGGAAAAACCGTTTTCATTTAACAGAAGGTTTCCTGAAATGGACGGTGCTGAGCAGTGAAGACGGCTGGGCGGCGGCGGAGGAAAACTTGGAGGTCATACCTAGTGCCTATATGCTGACCAGCTTCCTGTCTGCCTGCAGGTGAATGTCCCGCTTCCCCAAGGGCGGTTGTTGAGTACTTGCCTGGTCCTTATTGACCTTTCTCCCTCTTTCCTAGCGGTTATCACAAGAAGCAAGTGCTGGACCTGGAGAAGGAGGGTTTCTGGCCGGAACTTCTGGACAGTGGAAAGATTGAGATTTGTGTCTCTGACTGGTGAGTGTGATGATAAAAACAGCCCATTATTTAGTTATTTATTTATCTATTTATTTATTTATTTATGGCTGCGTTGGGTCTTCGTTGCTGCGCGTGGGTATTTCTCTAGTCGTGGAGAGCAGGGGTTACTCTTTGGTGGTTCGCTGGCTTCTCATTGCTGTGGCTTCTCTTGTTGAGGAGCATGGGGTCTAGGCGCACTGGCTTCAGTAGTTGTGGCGCACAGGCTTAGTTGCTCCGTGGCATGTGGGATCTTCCCCGACCAGGAATTGAACCCATGTCCCCTGTATTGGCAGGTGGATTCTTAACCACTGCGCCACCAGGGAAATCCCTGGGTGACTTTATTTAGGCCTCCTAACAACCCCTTAGGATAAAGCAGGTAGGGAAATGAGACTTAACCACCATGATGGCTTTAGTACTTTAGCAGAGTACATTCCCTGAACCCATCCCCTAACCCCCAAAAGGACCTGGATGGGATGATGCCAGTTTGGATCCTATACAGAGGACTTGGGCCCAATTCCATCTTGTCTGTGAATGAGATGCTCCTTGGTTTAGGAGGAGACAAGGTAGGAGACTTGGCTAAAGGTCAGATTCTGGAGCCAGAACCTCTCAGGTTCAAACCCTGGCTTCCCAGCTTTGTGGCCTTGGGCAAATCACAGTGTGCCTCAGTTTCCCTATCTTTATAAGATAGGGTTATATGTCAAACACAAAGCCAGTGCTTTGAAGTTTGAGCTGTTTCAGTACCCTTCATGATCCTTGATCCTGTGGGAAAATTATTTTTGAAACCTCAAACTGAGGAGTTCGGAATGGGGAGGTGATTTTTCCCTGGTGGCACAGCTAAGATTTGGCAGGGCCTGGCATTAGACTCATACTTGTCTGACTCTTGCACTCTGTAGTGATGGTCTTGAAACTGCGGTCCATGAGCACCTTCCAGGGGATACAGGACTCAGATGATTTTAAGCAAAGGCAAAGTCCAAGTCCACTACAGTTTTATGTTCCTTGTTCTAAAACAACTCACTACAGTTCACATCGATAGTGGGAGCATCATATAGTTATGCTTTCCCAATTCCTATCTCACAGTCCTCCAATTTTACAGAAAATGAAAGCCCCTCTCTATTGCGTGTTCCCCAGATGTAAAGGCTACTTGAGAGACAGGAAAAGTGACCATTTAAAATTTTGGCTTTACCACATTCATTTTCAATCAAGGCACCGTAAACTTCCGATGCAGGGGACACGGGTTTGTGTCCCGGTCCGGGAAGATCCCACATGCCGCCGAGCGGCTGGGCCCATGAGCCATGGCCGCTGAGCCTGTGCTCCACAACGGGAGAGGCCACAACAGTGAGAGGCCCGCGTACCGCAAAAAAAAAAAAAAAAAAACAAAAAACCCCACATGTCTTGGTTGTGCAACTCAGTGAATTATTATGAAGTGAATACATTCACTAAATCAAGAACAGAATGTTGCCAGCAAACCCCACCCTCAGCATCCCTCATGCACCATTCCCCATCACTTTCAACCCAAGGGTAGCACCATCCTGAATTCTGTTACCATAGATAAGTCTTGTCCATTTTGGTCCTTAATACATATTGAGTCATATAGTATATAGTTTGTATCTGGCTTCTTTCAATCAATAACACATTTGTAAATTCATCCATAATTGTATGTAGCTGCAGTTAGTTTACTTTCATGGCTTTATAATATTCCATTACATGAATATACCATAATCTATCCATTTACCATTGAAGGACATTGCCTGTTGTGTCTTTGAATATTGCTGGATATTCCATCACCAATTTATCTAGATTCCTCTGGATCCTTGTAAATGGCTGATAAGGAAATTATATCTTAAAACATCACCGTTGTACACATCGGAAATGACATCTTTTGCCACCAGTGAAATATAGAATGAGAAATAATATGGGAGGACGTACCCTGAAGAGCATGGCTTTAGGTCATTACTTCTGAAATGAATGTGCATGCAGACCAGCTGGGGAGAGAGTTTAGTGCAGATGGATTCATTGGGTATGCAGAGGGGCCAAACTCCTAAGTGACACTAATGGTGCCAGTCCTGGGGATCACAAAACTATTTTGTACTTGCATACATGGGAAGGCCATTCAGGTGAAGCAGGCAGACCCCCAAAGAGATAGGACGGCAAGTCCAGCCTTCAAGGTCTCCCTTCTCCCACAGGCGGAATGACCAACAAGGAACTGACTGTATATATCAGCTAACTGTCCAACTTCTAGATGCCAACCAGGCCATCCTGGATCATTTCTCTCCTTTGCCTTTCCCCATCTGGAAGTGGAGAAACAGCGTCTCTCCTCGGGTGAGTCTCTGGGGTGTGGGAAAGGACAGTGGGGCTTATGATAATCTATGGCTGCATAAAAAATTGCCCTTAAATATAGCGGCTTAATAGCATCAGCAGTCATCTTATCACCTCTGTGAGTAGAGCTCTGCTGGGTGCTTCTGGCTCCATTCTCTCATGTAGTTGCCTTCAGGCACTGGCTGGGGCCGAAGGGCAGGGCAGGATGTGAGTGTGTATACAGCAGCTGGTGGCTGGCCAGGCAGCTCTTGGTTTAATCTCAGAGCTTGGCCTTGGGATCTCTCTGCTTGGTCTAGTTTGGGCTTCCTCACAGCATGGCAGCTTTAGGGTGGTCAGCTGCATCTCGGCGGCTCAAGCCTCCACCATGAGGCTTCTGGAGAAACCAGCAGAAGCTGCATTGCCTTTCTGACCCAGCCTTGGAAGTCACTTAGCAAAAGTCACTCAGCGTCATTTCCACCACACTCTGGGTTACAAGGAAACCTGCCCAGATTCAAGGGAACAGGAATTAGACTCTGTCCTTGGATAAGGAGTGGCATGATTCTAGAAGTACCCGTGGAGACATTGTCACAGCCATTTATGGAAAATACCACCTGCCTGAGGACCCCAACTCCGCTTTTGAGAAGAAGCCTAGGTCACAATGAGGCTTACCTCTTTTCCTTCCTACAGGTCAGCCACGTGTTCTCCAACCTCAAGAAGGGCGTTCGCTTTGTGTCTTTGGAATGCTGCATCTGGGACTTGGAGTTCAGAAATGAGCAGTATGGAGTCTCTGTGACAAATTCCAGTGTCATCGTGCAGGTCTGTCTGTCCTAGTCGAGGGCTGTCCTTAAAAACTACCTGACCGTGCCTCCCAGGACCTGGGTCCATTGGCTGGGCCATCTCAGTAATCAAGGGCTTGTAGCTCCCTGGCATCCTGGGATCTCCTGGATCCGGTCAAACTTCCTACTGGGCCCTGTCGTCAGATTCTGGAAGCTACTATAAGGAAGTTCCTCCATCAGATTTACTGGCTGCTGCTCTAAGGCAGCCCCTGTTTTACTGAGTGGATACGCAGTGATAAGCACAGGGAAACACTGGATCGTGAGAGGGCTTCTCACCCTCCACCCACACCAGGCCCTCTGTTTCAGCTCCAGAGCCCTCTACCCTTATCTCCTAGAAGCTCATCCCTATGGCTGAGAAAATTCCAGCCACCACGGGTGGTGAACATAACCCCATGGCGTTTCAAGACTGGGATCAGGACTCACAGCAGAAAGTCAGACTACCTCAAAAAAATGTATGGAGACAGAGGGTTCTGCCCGCCCTGTGAACAATCAAGGGGTACCCTGAGTCCAGCCTTACCCTGAATTGTATGGTGTATAAAATTATTTTGTTATTTTGAAATTCTTTTCAAACATGGAAAGAATAAATCAGAAATATATCTGCCAGTCATAGGTAATAAAGGTATTATTTTGCCAATAGTGTCTCATGTCTTTTTTTTTTTTTTCGGTACGCGGGCCTCTCACTGTTGTGGCCTCTCCCGTTGCGGAGCACAGGCTCCGGATGCGCAGGCTCAGCGGCCGTGGCTCACAGGCCCAGCCGCTCCGCGGCATGTGGGATCTTCCCAGACCGGGGCACAAACCCGTGTACCCTGCATCGGCAGGCGGACTCTCAACCACTGCGCCACCAGGAAAGCCCTCCCATGTCTTTTAAATAGAAATACATACAATGTTTCTGCATTGGTGACTACTTGGTTCACAGTAAGGATTTGTCCCAGTTGAGGAGGGAAAATTGTACAGAAGAAAACACCATAGAAGGTGTTCTCCATTTGAGAGCATGGAAGTGTTAGCACCCTGTTTCCCAAGCCCTAAGGAAATCATGGAGTCAAAGATTATCAGTCAGGGTTAAAAGCATTAGGCAGGTGGTGGATGTGGATACAGTGTCACAGTGACACCACATTTGTGACATTCTAGTCATGATGAGGGTGAGAGAGGACCATGCAATGGCAGGATCCGGCTGTCCTCACCCAAGTCCAGGGTTCATGGCTAGCCTCACTGTTGCAGGATCCCTAAGGAGTTCCAGTCTCCTGATGTAATACAGATGAAGCCTCTTGCTGCCTTTGATGTAACTACCCTGAACTGCCCCACCCACCTGCAGTATAAGCATGGGACACACCCACTGGGGACAGTGTTTTGCCAGTATCATCAAAAGGGGATTGTGGGGCTTCCCTGGTGGCGCAGTGGTTGAGAGTCCGCCTGCTGATTCAGGGGACACGGGTTCGTGCCCCGGTCCGGGAAGATCCCACATGCTGCGGAGCGGCTAGGCCCGTGACCCATGGCCGCTGAGCCTGCGCGTCTGGAGCCTGTGCTCCGCAACGGGAGAGGCCACAACAGTGAGAGGCCCACGTACCGCAAAAAATAAAAAAAATTAAAAAATTAAAAAAAAAGGGGAGTGTGACAGGTTGAAACAGACCTAAGAATCATGACCACATGTAGTGTGTGGTCCTGGAGTAGATACTGGTTCAGACAATTTAGCTCTGGAGGATATTTTTAGGTCAACTGGAGGAATTTGGATATGAGGAATATGAGACAGGCATTTACAGGATACATGGTAGTTATAGCACATAGAGCTTTTCCCCCCTGAAACATTTAATACATTTCCAACTTGATGCACCATCAACAACACTACAAAATCCTTTCACGCGTATTTTCTACAAATGTGGACATTCTTCTATATAACTACAATAAAAGCATCGGAATAATGAAGGTCACATTGATTAAATAACAGAAAGGCTTAACATAGCTTGTCTCTCTTCTTTGAAAGGCCTGTTTGCAAGATGGGCTGGAATCTGGGAACTTGAACTTTGGTAGTTGTCCCACCATCTCCTAACTGATAAGGCTCATTGTTCTTAGACTGTGCAAACACTATGGTTTCTGCTCAACACCTGCTTTCATATGGGGAGCCTGGAATTTTGGTACATGCCAGGCAGAGGGTCCTCTGTGTCCAGGGCCCAGTGAAACCCTAGGGTGCTGGGTCCCTCATGAGATTCCCTGGACATCACACACACATGTGACTGCATTTTTATTGCTGAGAGAAGAGTACACTCTGCATGATCCCCCCGGGGAAGGGAGAGGACGGAAGGAAGAGGCTCATGGATTCTTCCAGTCTCTGCTTGTGTGTTTTCCCCTTAGGATCCACTGCGCATCCTTACTGCACCGCTGTAGTTCATCTCTGGAGTGAGTCCAACTATATGCTGAGTCCCCCAAGTCCTCCTGGCAAATATCCAACCATGGGGGTAATCTTGGGGCCACACAAACGTGCACAGTTGTGGCAGGGGTGGCACTGCTAAAAGGATCCTAGCTACCTACAATATGGCTACTCTGTTTGGGGGAAAGGGAGGCGGTGGGGAATGGTGAAACCCCAGTGCCTGGTGGCCATGGAGTTGCTCATGGTCTGAAAGAGCTGAGCTGCTGTCTGTTTGAAACTGAGTCCCCCTAAAACTGTAACCCCTACCAAGTCTATGATTAACCTCTCTTTCCAAAACTTTATTCCTTTTCTTGTTCCACCCCTGCTCCCCTCAAGATTGAGGAGTATCAAAGAAAAGGGGGGATTGAAACTGAGGAGGACCCTGCAGGGCGCTCCCGAGTAAAAAGTCTTTCCAAGGCCCCCGTTTCTTGTTTGTAGGGAAAAGGCTTCAGCCTCCTAGACCTTCCCTGATTTCTGATGAAAGAAATTTTCACATATTGAGGTCTAGGGAAGACATTGTGGCTTATACATGATGTAACTCAAATTTTATGCTAACTAAAACAGCCTGTTTACGGCCTATCAAACATACATTGTACATCTGCTTTAATTATTAAAGAAATTGACCGGAAGTAAAAATGTCCATATTAAGAATAAAGATTAAATGCCTCCCTTCCTAGGACGCCGACGCTGGTACCGCTTCCATGATAAGACTCCCTTGCCAAGGCCATACTGACTCACTGTGTACGTGTTGATCTTTTTCTTTTCTTTTCTCTTTTCTTTTTTTTTTTTCAAACTTGAAGGAATGTATCTCTGACTTGTTTGGTGTTCTTTGTTCTGACAAGTTATTAAACCGTGTTGAAAACCATGCTTCTCGGGAGCAGTTCCTCAGAGTTCTCTGAGAGGGCATCTCCGGGCTATAGTCCTCAGTTTGGCTTAAATAAACTCTTTTCTATTCCTATTATAGATTGTTGATTATTTTTGTCAACTGTTCCAAAGGGCAGATTCAAACAGTTACTAATTAGGGAAGTGAGGGAATGCAGAACGAAAGGAAAAGGAGTCAAGGAACAATAACGCAGGGGGAAAAAACAGAGTCCTAGCTCCTCCTCAAGGGATATACATAACAATCTCATACATATTTTTGAGTTCTTCTGCAGGAACTAAAGCCCCCATGCAGGCAGAGGATGGCAACTACATGCTGAGACTCCAGACTTGTCGGAACCAGAAGACTGATGATCGAGATTCCTTGTACACCACCCTGTTACCTCACCACCAGCCAATCAGAAGAAAGTCATACACCCTGCAGCTCTCAGCCCAAATGTTACCTTTAAAAAACTCTTCCCTGAAAACCTCAAGGAATTCAAGTCTTTTGAGCATGGGCTGCCTGTTCTCCTTGCTTGGCCATTGCAGTAAAACTCTCTGTGCTCCAAACTTTGATGTTTCCGTTTGTTTGGCCTCACTGTGTGTCAAGCACATGAACTTGGGTTCAAAAACATGTTGTGAGAGGTAGAAGTTACCTATGCAATTAAAACAATAGGTCCAGGGGCTCCCCTGGTGGCTAAGTGGTTGAGAGTCCGCCTGCCAATGCAGGGGACGCAGGTTCGTGCCCCGGTCCGGGAAGATCCCACATGCTGCGGAGTGGCTGGGCCCATGAGCCATGGCCGGTGAGCCTGCACGTCCGGAGCCTGTGCTCCGCAATGGGAGAGGTCGTCAACAGTGAGAGGCCTGCGTACCGGAAAAACAATAGGTCCAACCCTTGGGGAGTTGGCCCACAGGACCCCCTGGCTAACTTTGGCCCGGAAGTGAAGATGATAATACAGCCTGATGATGCCTTTGGTTTTTCCCATTTTCCTCCAGGTGGGAGTTTGGGGTGGGTCAAAGACAATAAATATTAGTTGCTCCCTATTCTAGGTGGGGAGAGAAAAGGGCCAAACTTCCCAAAGATGGGTTTCAGGTGAACCTAAAAGTTTGCACTGCTTTCTCCTCCAAGTAGAAGGAAAATAGGTTAAAATCCATTCCCAAGACTGGATAGAAGCTTTAGATAAGCCAGAGGAAAAAGAAGAAAGGAAACATTCCAGCTCTTAGGCCTGCAGCAACCCTACCTAATTCAGGTGGCCATGATGTTAACCCTGAATGCTGTATTTACTTCTAGGGATTTGAGTAAACTTCCAAGGAGGAAAAGAAAAAGGGAAATCCACAATACAATATTACCTCTCAATTATATCTCAAAGGAAAAGGGAAATTTGTATTTTCTGGGTATTAGATCTGCACGTATGATTTTTAAAAATCAATGATCAATGTATACATATATATACATACATATGTATTATATATATATAATACATATGTATTTTATACACACACACAATAGTTTGTTTTCTCTGTATTACTGTTACCAAAAGCTCAGCCTCTCTGTATACCGGTGACAAATCGAATCTCCGAGACAGAGTTTTGGGTGAAGGAGAAAAGAATAGCTTTATTGCTTTGCCAGGCAAAGGGGGCCACAGCGGGATTCTGCCTCGAAAACCTGTGTCCCAACCTGGGAGGATTTGAGGAGGGGTTTTATAACAGTGATTCAAAGGTGGGGTCTCTGAAAA